TTTTTTTCTTTAGTAAAAAAAGGGATCAACAGTGTCCTAACGCCTTAATTAAATGGTCACTTTACAATTCACTAAGACTACAAGTGGTCACGGAAAGGAACATGATCTAGACTTTAAAAGTTAGGGTTTCAAAGTTGCACCATTAGAGCTTCTTTAGTGAAATGTTAAATTAGTGTGTCAATGCTAAATTTTAACATTTGAGTCGGAATATCACTCTCCAATGCAATATAAGTTTTGTGCTAAATTTATCATATCATATACTTAATGGCACACCTAGTTTAACATGTGCCAAATTTAGTATTTTATTGCTTTCGATTGATATGTTTATCATTGCAATTATTTTAAAATTAAAAGTTGAACGTAAATTTAACATTTAAAACGAATTAGAGTACAAATAAATATAATATACCAAACATTTATTATCACACTCTTAATGTCAAATGTATTATGGCATTAATATTTATATTGAAGATGGCCTTATATATATCTCCCCTATCTTATTAGAGTACTATATATAAGTATCATCTTTCTGTCTATACTATAATCTATAATATAACTTGCACCAACATTGCAGATTTGTTCCACAATTTATGTACCAATATGGGCAAATTTAATGCGACAACTGCCGAAGCTTTTGTCATTTTTTTTTTCTTTTTTGTTTTCACTTACATAAATAAAGAGACCGACGTAGCAAATAAAATCTATAAAGTAGTTGGGGAACACACCGGATGTGGCAGACCTTGCTCTTTCCGGGAACACAAATTTTGGGGCAAGTATGTCATCACATGGCCCTCCATCACCGACCCCATAGAATAAATTTGGCATCTTATGTGGGACCCAAATTGACATATTCCAAGTTTTACAAACCCACATGTGTAATGAATCATGCAATGGAGTCTAAATTATGGTGCAGTCCAATGAAAAGGACACCTTATTGAATTTTAATATTATGTACATGTATTCTTTGCTAATGTTAATATTATATGTATTGGGTATAATTAGATGACCCCTGCCGCCTTAGAAAATATATACCAAAATAATAAAAACTCGTGTAATGAATCAATGAACGTAAGTTGTATCTTATATTTGTTATCAAATTTATTTTTTATTTTTAGATATTCAAGCGTCTTTTAATCCAATGGCTATCATACAACATAGCATTTACAATTTTTTTTTTTTTTTTATGGTAGTGTTAACAATCCAAAATGATAGTGTTAACACCATCTTTCCAATTGCTCTTATCATTGGTTTGGGTGACAGTGTTAACAATCCAACCGGATTTTTTTTATTATAGTTATTTAAATTGAATTTTGGGTCGATCAAATCAGAAAATAATGATAAGAGTATATTAGATATTTCATGTCTCAAACATCGATCTCAAATATCAAAAAAACGTTATGGTATTATTTTAATATTATTAAAAAAAATAAAAATACTAACATACCAAAATTGATTACCCATTCTTGTATAATGTATAAATAGGTGTACTTATCATAAATATTCATACCGTGTGACGTGTTAATGGTAGAAGATAGTAAGACAATGGTTTACTTCCACGTTATCCAAGGTTCATGTACTAATAGTAGCCTATACACTAAAAAAAAAGTACTAATAGCAATCTAATGATGCATTAGTGATGAATATCCGTATTAATAGAATGTGTGAATACCGCTTACGGGTTCAAGTAGTCCCAGAAACTCGAGAGTTTTGTCCCTCTGAATATGAACACTGGCTAAGTTTGGGGTGTTTTTGTTGGGATTGTTGAAATACAATAGGTAAGAATTTGTTAAGTTTTATCACATTTAAAAACGGACATAATTTTCAGCAAGCAGGGCGCTTTGGCATCAAGTTTGGATGCTGCGGTGCTGGAATGAACATAATTTCCAGTAAGCATGGCGCTAAGTACGGGCGCCGCGGCGTTGGACTGGACAAAGAGTATAGCGCCGCGGCGCTGAGTTTGGGCGCCACGGCGCTCAGGCTTGCGCGGACAGTTTCTGGTTTTTCAGAAACTGGCGCTGTAGCGTTAGTTTCGGGCGCTGCAGTGCCGTAACGATCAGACATGATTTTTTAAATTTGAATTGACACCAAATCAAATGAGAAAGGTGCCTTTTCAAGTTTGGTTGTGTCTGTACGTATTGGTGTGAAAAAAAAAACTATAAAAGAACAATAATTACTGATAAACTGAGAAAAATATACTCTACAGTTCTTCTCTCTTCTTGTTCAAAATTTCTAGAAATTCTAAAGAGTTATTGTGTTCTTAGTATTGTTGTCATTTTGCTTGTGATTAACAACTTGAAAGCTTGTCATATCTTGCGAGCGATTTACCAAAAACCTGAAGCAATCTCTAACGAGAGGGGGCAAATTACGCTTTAAGGAAAGCGTACTTTTTACGTGTTTCAAGTCTCCTTACCCTTAAAATTTCCAACAATTTTGGTGCTAAAGAGAGAGATGGTTTAGGGTTGAGTTTTTGTGGCAATTTTTAGGGTCAAATACTTACTTTACAAGTTAATATAGCATTTACTAAACTTTAGGGGTAAATAAAACATATACTCGAAGTCATTATACAATTTACCATTCTTTTGGGGTCAATGAAGCATATACTTCCACTTTACCCTCCAAATAAACAGAGGGCTTTTCCCATTTTTTTTTCTTTTTTCCCCTAAAATAGGGGATGAAAGGATTTACATGTTAATACTTTATAGTAGAATCAGATGTGAAATTACCATTAGAATCATACGCGGAATTGCCTTTAAGCTGCAACCACAAAAGACGGCTTTTCAGCCATTTTGGTTTCAATTTTTCCCCATGTACCAAAAGCTCTCTTATGATTACGAGCATATAGAGTTTAAATCTCCCTCATTCCAAATTAATAAATAAATAAATAATAAAGATAATAATCCCAAATGTTGGACATTTTCCTAATTCGCCCTAATAAATAGTGCATAATCAAGTAAAAACCTGATAACACACTCCCTATCTCTAGTATAATAACAGTTTTGAGAGAGCGCAACCAAAGAAGAAAAATTAAAATGGAAAAGAGAATTCCAAAGCAAATGGGTAATAGAAATCCCACCTACATATTTTATTATGTACATATTAAAGAGTTATTATATAATATTGCCATTGCCTGGTAATTGCCGAATATGCTAAACAGCTAAGACCCCCTTTGTCACCTAACCTAATATTAACAAAATTGGAGGATGTCTTTGGAGAAAATTAAACAATCAATAACAAAAAGATTCAAACAGCTCCCCAACAAAAAAACAGTCCCACGAGCTTTGCTTGCTTTTTTTTTTTTTTTTTTTTTTTTTTTTCCAGAATGACCCCAAAAAGCTAAAGGACGAAGATTGCCCGGATAAAATGACCAGCTTTGTGAGTCCCCACAAAACACTAAACAAAACTTCCAGTGTCGTTTCTTCCACTACTTCCAAGCTCAATCAGATCCAACACCAATTGCGTCCAGTTCACTTGTGGGGCCCGAAAGCTCCTTGGGACGGTCGCTCATCCTCCGTCCGATGATCGATCAACGGCTGTGTTCTGTTCTGTGTTGGATTTGAGACAAGTAAACCTTGCTCTGGATAACAGTTTTTCCTATCCTGAAACCAGGAATGACAGTGAAAGCTACTTGTGAATCAGATTCCACTACACCGTAGTTGTTGTTACTGCTGCTGTTGTCTAGTGAAGGGAAAGCTTCCTCTGCTATGCTTTCCATGTAGACTTCCGAAAATCGACACCCCTTCGGAATTTGAAAGATCAAGGCTTCGGGATCGAAAGAGAAGGCCATGCAATGCAGGAGCCACACCCTCTTCGCCATTTCTGCAAATGAAACGAAGAAGCTCGAGGAACAAACGGTTGAGATTTCACCGGCGTGGACAAGGTTTCTTTGGTTTAGATTGCCGAAGAATGAATGTTCCATCTTGGGATGCACCAGTTTCAAGTACTTGACCCGACAGAAATTCGCAAATGCTGATCTGGGCTTCGCGAGAAGATAGTCCTTTGTCTTCACAGACTTCAGTTCCATGAATCTGGCGAAGAACTTCTCTCTCTGTTTCCTCTTGTCTACCGAAGAAGAAGGCTCTTTCTGAAGATGGAAATTAGGGTAACAGAAACAGTCGAACATTTCCCGGGAAACAAACGATTCGAATGCGAAACACTTGTGCTCTTCTCTCCAGTAAACCACGTCCGGTTGAATGGCGTATGCCGCAGCGTCCAAATCCCAATCGGCGGATTTCATCTCCTCCACCACCAGCCTCACGAAGCTTCGAATCGATCGAATGGCGTGACGAAGAACCGTGATGAAATGTCCAGGACTTAGTCCAGATAGATGGAGATTGTCAAGAACAGATAGCAATTGCCCACTTTGATTCAACGTCTTCCCAAACAGCTTATTCTGTTTATTTGCTTCATCCAATTTCTCTCTAAGAAACAAAACTTCAGACTCTTTCAATCTCACTTGAGACTCCAATTTCTTCCCCGTGATCTCATAAGTCTTCAACAAGCTCTTCTGCTCTTGAATTTCCGCCGCAATCAGCGCCTTCTCAGGCGAAGGATCAAACTGTTTCTTCAAGTAACACCTTTTCACCTCCGACAACCTCTTCAGCTCTGAGATGACCGTTCTATCCGCGGACTGAATCCCGTCCGAGTCATAAGGAGACTGCGAAAACTGCAGCTGCGCATAGGCGGATTTAACCGTGGAAATGCTCGCAAACAGCTTGGCAAGAAGAGCTTCCATGGCGATTCTCTCCTCGAGCTCTTCATCATCATCGAGACCGATGTTTTTGTTGTTCCGGTGGTCGTCATACTCGTCCTTGAGCTTGTCTTGGAACTTGGTGTTGCTCACTTTGTGATGAACATTCCCGAATTCTTGGGACTTCTTCAGCTTCTGATGAATCCCATCAACAGGGGCAATCCCAGTTGCTGCTCTGAGGTGAAGAACTTTGGCAATAGTTCTTGCCAATTTGCTCTTGTGTGGAGTACTAACAGCTGAGGGCTTAACTGAATCCATCTGAAAAATTAAGGAAGAAAAAGAAAAACACTAAACTTGTTATGAACTTATAGTTCACACAACAAGAAAAAAGAGCTGTTGAAACAATATAAATAATATCAAAGGAAAAGACAGAGAGGGGAATAAAGAAAGTATACATGGGAATATTGGAGACTATAATGAGCGTGTTGAAGAAAAAGCGAAAGGAAAAAGTGAAGTATGATGCTTTAGACTCTTAGATCGAGGCCATTAATGGAGGAGGTGAAATTCTTTTTGTTTCTTGTTTCTGGCTTTTTATAATGAGCGTGTTTCTCTCTCTCTGTCCATATTTTTCCCCTTTTTTTTTCTCTCTCTCTCCATCTTTCGAAAGCTTTAATAAAAGTATGTTTAAACGCGGGAAAGAAGATATATGCATGAATATAAACAAAGAGAAAAGATTAAAAAGAAAACGGTTGTTTCTGCTTTTGCCCCCTTAATTACTAAAAATCTACATGTTGTCCTTTGGACTTTTAATTATGACAAATTATCCTCTAAATTTAATAAAATATTACAAATTGCTACCATCGATGAGTGATGTTAAAAATGTTGGAAGGGAACACTTCCATACACGTGCCATGATTATGCTCATGTAACGTGTTCAGTGGTGTTCCCATTCAAATTTTAACGATCAACACCAGTTCTGAAGCATTTTTGTAACTTGTTAAAATTAAAAGTTTGGCGGGTGATTTGCCAATCGTGAAAAATTGAGGGATAGATGTGCCAAATACAAAAAAGAAAGAAAAGGAACACAATGATAATAAAGGGAGGAAAAAAAAGGGTAAGAAGAAGAAGCTGCCTAGAAAGATTCAAGGACACGCTCAAAAGACGCGTCCAAGGTTCTACAATATGCATGTCCATCACCTCGATATGATAACAACTTAAATAATGAATATTTGTATACTTTTCCTTTTGCTACTCTGAATATTATATTATATACGTATTACATCTATACATGTATTGTTCTCTGTCTATCCTAATATATATATATATATATATTAATGATTATTGGACGAAATAATATTTTATTCCCACTCTTCAACAGCTTTTTTTTGGTCAGATTATGCCTACTATTCACAAAACAACAATGTTTAATCAGGTGATTACAGCTTTCTTGAGTGCAAAACAAACTATGGAATTTTCTTGTTTTGGTTTTCCTAGACGTTGCAACTAGAGGAATATAACAATATCACCAAGTGGTCCAATTTTTGCACTGGACCAATTCCTTGTCTCTTCTTTTGTTTACCCTTTTCCCCATTAGTCATACTAGGTAGACTAGAGATTTTTAAAGAAAGGGAGAGAATTATAGGCTTTAGAATTGATCCCGTTTTTATTTTTCACATTTTTCAAGAAAGAAAAAATGAAAATATTTTTAAAATGACGTTTGGCGCAATAAAGACAAAAAAGAGAAATGAAAACGATTTTTTAATTTAGTGTAAAATGATAGAGAAATGAAAAATAACTTTTAGTCGTTTTTCATTTTTTGTTTTCGTTTTCTCCTCTCTCGAGTAGAGAGAGAATGAGACAGAGACATTAATGAGTTTTTTTTATACTGAAAATAATCTCTTGATAAAAAATTACCAAACGCATCTTTAAAAATAATTTATATACGTTTTCATTTTTATTTTCATATAAAAAATAAAATTATTTTGAAACAGTTCCAAACGCGCCCTAAACTTTGCTGAGACATCGTAGAGAGAGTAAAAACAAAAGGACCTAGGAAACAACCATCAAAAGCTCTAGGAAAGAAAACAAAGATGGAAATAAATTACTAAAATATTCAATATGAAATTACTAGAGTATTTAAAGGTGCATGTTAAGATTTAGATCTAGGAAGAAAAAGCACCTAGAGTTCTAAATAATACTAACAGACACTTTAATGACCAAGTAAAACCCAAAGACGAACTTCACTATATTCCTAATTAAAATTCAGAGAACTCCTACAGTAGGAACTATCTTTCATAAGTATCGATAGAAACTACTATTTTATCGTGATTTCAATGGTTAGACATGTAGCGCATAACATAAAATTGCTATAATTACATATTACACTGTTAAAAAGTTAATTCAATAATTAAAACAACGATACTTATCAGTACTTAAAAAGAACATTTCTTACCGTAGAAATTCCCTAATTGTTAAATTAACTCTAACACGAGAAAGATTAAATAAACATACATTCTTGAAATAACGAAAAAGAAAAAATACACAAAAAAAAAAAGTACAACATCCTTTGGATTCCTTGGGTCAATCTGTGCAGGTCCTAAAGGAGCCTGGCAAAGGTGCATTGACAAGGGGGAAAATCTGATTTGGGAATTTTGGATCGTCTACTCAGCACAATCAAATCATGATTTTTTATTTTTTTCTTTGGTCTACAATGTCATGTGGCCCAATTGAATATTTATTGTACGATATATATTTTTTCCCCTATTCTTATCCCATTTCATTTTCTCATGATTCACAAGCTCACAAAAAAATCACAAAGTCACGAGAAAACATTTCGCTGCTGAGCTAAGGTAAACCTTTTCGTACAATGCTATATAAGTAGTACATGTGTACACATAATTATGTCATAGAATTTATTAGACTAAAAAAGATCTAAAGCCCCGTTCATTTCACTGATTCGAGTTTAGAATTCGAGAAAACTCTTATAGAAAATTACATCTCAACTCAAATTAAAAATTCAAATCAGCGAACTAAACGAGCCCTAAGAGTACTATGAATGAAAACTTAGCAAAAGGAACCAATTGGTCAATAGATTATACACGTCAAAATTATTAAATTCTGTCCAATAAGAGTATAAGGGACGGAAACTTGTGGAGTGCCAATATTAACGGCGCTAACTGCTACATAACGCCAAGGGTGACGAATAAAATGGCTTTATACTGATCCTGAAGAGAATCATAATGCAGGAATTTTTGGGATCCAAGTCCAACTATCAAAAAAGAAAAAAAGAATCTTTAGACCCGTTTAGTTCGCTGATTCGAGTTTTTAATTTGAATTGATATGTGACTTTATGTGAGAGCTTTTTACTGTAGCAAAAAAATTAAATGTGACTATTTCTGAGAATTTTTTACTGTAGCAAAACTCGAATCGGTGAAATAAACGGGACCTTTATGGTGAAAAAGTTAAAATACTGACATTTTTAGTCGTTAAATTAACTTTTCAACGGTCAGATCTGTGCATGATTTCATTAAAAATTTACAACGTGCGACACAAAATTGCTACTAATGCAGATTAGACCATTGCAAATCTAATTTAACGGTACGACACAATTCCCACCCATAAAGCAAAGTAGCCTTATCCATCTTAAATGCACCAATAAAAAAATTCCAATGGCGTTTTTCTACACTTCCACTAAAACTAACAAATTTATCCACCTTTTCCCCCTCGTTATCATTTATGATGTCATGTAAAATGTAAAAGACCATAAAACGACAAAAGTTTAGATTGATAGTGATACAAAACTAGGTTTTAAAGTTACGCACAAAACTTAAGGCACTAGATTTGTGAAACTTTTGTCGCACTTAATTAATGGTAAAGCCATAAGGCACCAGTACTTAAATTTCACGTATAACAGTACTAATGTCACACATTGATTCTAAATACTAACAACTAAAATGAGACACATAATCCCCAATTGAATGCTATATCTACAATGACAAAAAAAACTTTATAAATATTGCGGTCATTACTAAACTAAGTTCAAAGGGTTGCTACCTAAATGGAAAATATTAATTTTTTTGTAATAAAATGACAAAAACTAATTGTAAACGTTACATTTGGTTCGTTAATGTTACCGGAATCCTAAAGTTACTCTTAAAAATTGTCCCCTATTAAAATTAATTACTCATTAAATACTAAAACTATCTTTTTAGGAAATACTAAGGGTTCGTTTGGAACGAGGATTTAAATCAGGATAATTCTAATTATGATTCTGGAATTAAAACCATGATTCATGAATTGGGTTCAAATCATGATTCTGAAATCATGATTCACAATCAGGAGTTTAAATCACCTTGAATCAAGAGGGTGGTGGTTTTAGAATCATGAGTGATTCTAGTTTAAAACATCACATCAGCTTCCGAATTATAATTTAAAATCATCCAAACTAAACACTGATTCTGAATCATAATTCAAAATCATGATTAAGAATCACTGCAAACAAACACAAATTCTGAACTAAAGTTCAGAATCATGATTCTAGATCCATCTACCAAACGAACCTAACACTAATCTTCTCTTTCCATTCCTTTCCTTTTCTTTTCTTTTTCTTTTTCTTTTTTTTTTTTCTGGAAGAATTCTAAAACTAAAGTTTTTATTATTTATTACTTTAGGAAAAGAGGTTATAAATGTTGACATATCTATCTAATGGAATGTATGAAAAAGTCATTATTGTGGGACCCACGTGAGTAACGGCTGTATGGCCAACTAGCTCCCCCTTAACTACAAATCGGACGGCCAGGCGCACAACTAAAACCGCTACATTTATTTCATAGCTTTTTTTCTTTCTTGATAAATTCATTCAAAACATCTTTTTTTCCTGCATAAAAACCACATTTTAATTTCCAGCAAAAGAGGGAAAAAAATAAAAAAACACCTTCCTGAAACAATTGCAACCGTCAATTCTACCGCGAAAAGTGGGACCCGCCGCATAAAGCCTAGATACTTTTGTGGGCCCCACAGACCGGAGAAGCCCCCAAGGTCAAATCCATGAAATCACAATAGTGAAATTTACACGCAATTCAACACCAGATAACGCGGTAATTAGGATCCACACTGTACCATACAGTGGTCATGCAAACAGCAAAGAAAAACCCGTGCATTACTGATTACTCTAATTATCACATTAACATCTTTACGATATCGCTGACTCTCACCAAAACAAACGCCAGAAAAATAAAAAATAAAACTCGCCGTACCTTTCAAAATATCGCGAGAAATCGGAGACAAAATCGTCAAGTTCTCTTCATGTCGTAACGTAAATCTCAAGAAACCAGAACGACGACAGATGACAACACAACCGGAGGGAAGATGATGTCGTTGACTCTCTGCAACAAAAAAGCCAGGAAAAAAAACGAAATTTACTTCTCAAAAGCACCGAAAAAAAAAACTATAATGGTTTTGGTTCAGCACCCAGACGAAATCATCACGTTGAAGAGAAAAGCAGAAAGAGAACAAAATCAAGCTTTTTTGATTAAGCATTTCAAGCACCATTGAAAAACTCTTATATACACACGTACATATATATTTTATATATTATTTCCATTAACAAATACAAGAAAAATTACAAAGTATGTCCCAAACGGAAACGAAATAAATAAGAAGTAATGAATAATAAAGAAAGAAACGAAGCTTCTTAAGAAGTTTGGTAACCGACCCTTCTTTGCCTTGGAGAAACTTCGTGTTTGTTTGAAGAGAAAATCTCTGTTTGACCTCGATGATTTCTTTCCCCTGGTTTTTCAATCCTCAAAAGCCAAACACCGGAATGGGTTTTCGGAGGAGGAAAAAGCCAGACCCAGAAGAGCTCTATAACGAGAGAAAGTTCTAGAGAGAGAAAGTTTTCATTTAGGGGGGAGAGAAAAGAGAGAGAGAAAACAGAGAATTTT